GTGATGATGACTGACAGGGCGCCGTGACGAAGCACTATGTGGTGCATGAAAAACTGGGCGACTTCAGATGCTGTACCGCGTGGCAGTGGCTTCGTTTCAGCGTAACGCGTCAAATAATCTGTTGCGACGATGATCCACTTGTTTCCAGATTGAGACAAAGGAAACGGTCCAAGAAGGTCCATTCCAACTTGGTCAAACGGCGTACGTGGTGGGTCGATGGGTTGTAGGAGGCCTATAGGTGGTGACTTGTGACGCTGACATTCGCGGCATCCTTTCACGTAGCGTTTCACACAAGCTGCAAGTTTTGGCCAGAAATATAGCTGTCGTACCCGGTCGAGCGTCCGTGAGTATCCCAGATGGCCGGATGTCGGCTCATCGTGGCAGGCTAATAGGATATCATCGCGAAGGTCTTGAGGAACGACTAGAAGATAAGATCTGCTGCCGGTACCGGTGTTTTTCTTGTATAATATGCCGTGTCGTAAGCAAAATGACGGCCACGTACGGGAATGTTGTCGAGGAACCGACATGGTGCTGCCTTCTAAATGGTCGATGATGGGCCTTAACTCGGGGTCCGCTCGTTGCTTACTGAGGAGGTCCACCCGACTGAGAGTCCCCAGGAAGGCACTGTCGTCTTCTACAGCTGTATGGCCGGATTCCAGAGGTGCTCGTGATAGCGTGTCAGCGTCTTCATGCTTTCTACCCGATTTGTATAGGATGGTGACATCAAACTCTTGAAGTCGCAGACTTCATTGTGCTAATCGCCCAGAGGCGTTTCGGAGATTAGCCAACCAACATAAAGCGTGGTGATCAGTCACAACTATAAATGGGCGCCCATAGAGATAAGGCTTGAACTTTGTAATCGCCCATATTACCGCAAGACATTCCTTCTCTGACGTTGAATAGTTGGTTTCGGCACATGATAAAGTGCGGCTCGCGTAGGTGATCACACGTTCGGTCCCATCTTGCTTTTGCACCAAGATAGCTCCGAGACCAATGTTGCTTGCGTCAGTGCGCACCTCTGTGTCAGCGTCCTCATCGAAATGACCAAGCACAGGAGGGGAAGACAATCGATGTTGCAGTTCCGCAAAGGCAGTCGCTTGTTAGTGGCGATACTATGTGCAGAGCCCCAGAAATTGTCGAAGACTTTTCTTGTCTGTCGGAGCTGGAAAAGCGGCCACAGCGGCAGTCTTCTCGGGATCGGGACGAAACGCCTGCAGTGCTCACAACGTGACCCAGAACTTCAGTTCTTTGTAGGCGAAATGGCACATCTCAGGCTTGAGGGTAAGGTCAGCGGATCGTATAGCTTAAGAACACTCGGAATGCGATGAAGGTGCTCGTCAAACGTTCTTGAAAAGACAACGCCATCATCTAGATAGACGAGGCAACTTTTCCACTTGAGGTCAGCGAGAACGGTATCATCATTCGTTGGAATGTGGCCGGAGCGCAACAGAGACCGAATGGGAGCACTCGAAATTCATACAGACCGTCAAGAGTTACAAAAGCAGTTTTTTTCGCAGTCACGTTCATCAACTTCAATTTGCCAGTAATCACTTTTGAGGTGGAGTGAGGAAAAGTGCTTTGCTCGCCTCAGCCTGTCAAGAGAATCATTCACTCGAGACAACGGGTACACGTCTTTCTTTGTGACGTTATTCAGCTTCCTATAATCGACACGAAAGCGAAGTGTACCATCCTTCTTCTTTACAAGGACTACTGGCGATTACCAAGGTCTGCTTCATGGCTGTATTACACCGTCTTGAAGCATTTCCTTCACTTGCTTTTGAAGCACGCGTCGTTCAGTTGGTGAAACTCGGTAAGGCTGTTGCCGTATAGGGTGCGCGTCGCCGTAGGTGATAATACGGTGTTTCATAATCAAGGTCTGACGAATTCTCGATGAACGTGCAAAACAGGCGTCGAATTCTATCAAGAGGTCGTTAAACCTTCGTTTGTTTTCGTCAGAAAGCGCTGGATTTACGTCGACACACTGGAGAGGTGCTTCGGCATTATCGATCGCCTCGGAAGCAAAACACTCAGTCACATTGGTTACTGGGTAGGCATAGGCGATGACAGTACCAGTGAAAAGGTGTCGGCGCTCGTAGCTGAAGTTTGTAACAAGAACTTCGCAGTGGCCAGCCTTACGACATGCGGGGGAAGTCACTGGGTGGTTGATAATCCCGCATGGAAGGAGGTTCTCTTAAGGCATGCTGGACTTCATCTTGGACTACGCTGGACAACGAGGAGATAGTGGGCAGCGAGGACGCTGACAGCTTCTGGAGTTCTTCATGGGATGACTGAACGTATGATCTCTCGGACAAAATCCATTTGACCACCGAAAGCTCCCAAGTAGTCCGTAGTTGAAGCGTTGACGTGCCATTCGTATGACGGGGCCCGGTGCCTAAGAGTGCTTTCGATGGTGACGGCTTATCTGAGAAATTCGGACACAGTCTTGGGAGGACTACGCGCAAGCCCACCGAAAAGCTGTTCTTTCACCCCGCGCATGAGGTACCGTACCTTCTTTTCTCCTGGCATGCTGGGGTCATCTCGGTGGAAAAGACGCGTTATGTCCTCGACATACATCGTAACCCCTTCATATGGCAGTTGTATGTGGGACTGCAGATCGCGCTCAGCTCTCTCATGTCGGTCAGGGCTGGTATATTTCCCAAGAAGTCGGCGTTTGAAGTCTTCCCACGGTGTAAGAATACCCGCCCGGTTCTCATACCATACGCGTGCGCCGTCCAAAATACTGAAATAGACGTGCCGCAGTTCGTCTGCGTCGTCCCACTGGTTGTGCACGGCAACGAACTCGTAATGAACGAACCTATCTTCGACATCCTCAAGTGCAGTGCCATGAAAGGGATTTGGCGTTTTTGTTGTCAGTAAGGTGCAATGAAGCGGCGGTGTGCCGTTCGTATCGTTTCGGTTGGTTCAGTAGGGCTGGTCGGAGCCGCCATGTTGTTTACGAGCATTCCGAATTCAGGGGATTGCCCTCGGATTCTTCTGCTGGCGCGGTGCACAGGAGTAACCACCGATACGACGCTTGAGTTCTTGCTATGTGGAGGGGTACAGTGCATAGATTACCCAGCACGTCGACCAGTTTGTCACGCACCAAGAGCCGTGAATACAAGACAGGAACAGCGGGGCAGAAAGACATGAGCGTGTATCTTTAAGCGAAGCACTAACACACACTTCTTTGTTCTCTGTTCCCTTTTCGGCTCGCTAGGGCTTGTCGGCTCACAACTCTAGGTGGCAATATTCATCACTTTTTATGCAGAATTATTGTGACAGTTGATGTGCTGTAAACTTCTTCAAATATATGTATATATGCTCCATCAACGCCCTCATCCTGCAGTATGTCCGTGACTGCGGATATATCTACTTAATCAAATGTATTCTCGTAATCTATGATGGCTTTGTATAGTAGTTGAGTGTATTCTGAGTGATTGATCACTTGATTCTCACTTGATTGATCACATGATTGATCACTTGATCACTCTATAACTTGATTGATAGTGTGAGTCTGGTTGATTGATGAGTAGCCTGTATAGAATCCTGCTTGATCATTTGGTTGATTTATTTCTAATGTTGTCGTAATTCAGTTAGCAATTCCTTTTGTAAACTTACCTTGTATACCACGGACAGCAAGCTTATCAGCCTGTAATTCTCCAAGTCCTTGTCGTTTATTTTCTTATGGATTAGGATGATGTTAGCATTCTTCACAGGTTAAGCTACCCTCTTTGTCAGGAGACACTTGGCGTACACAGTGTGGCCAGTTTTTCCTAACACAATCTATCCTGCGTCTTTCAGTAGATCTGATCGTACCTAATCCTCTCCAGCACGTTTGCCTTGTTGCATTCGCTCCAAGGCTTTCCTGGCTTCTGTGATTACTGGTGGGATGTCACCTGGGTTACTGCTAGTTCTTACGTTATGGTCGTGGTTGTCCCGGCTACTGTACACTCTTTTGTAAAACTCCTCCGCTGCTTTAACTATCATATCCATATTGCTAGTTTGTTCGTCTTTCTTGTCCCTTGATGCATACATCTGGTTTCGGCCTATCCTAAGCTTCCTCTTCACAGCTTTGACCATTGCTGCATTCTGTAGAACTTGTTCGATTCTCTTCATGTTATACCTTATTCCATCGCATACCTCACGCCGCTAATGCGGTTCGAAAGCTCGAACTATTTTGTCTGTTGTGTTTGAAGATGTCATGCTTTGACGTTTCTCAATGAGGCTCTTTATTTCCTGGGACAGCTTGCTAGTGTTTTGTCTAATAACCGTACCCCCGCTTCCACTGCGGATTCTGTAAGGATGTCCGTCAGATTATCATTTATTGCGTAAATGTTAAGGCCGCTTTCCTGGATAAGAGTCGAGTATCTGATCCGAAGCGAGACTCTGAATTATTGTACTATCCCTCTCAGCACAAGCGCATTGACTGGCGTCATCCGTATTAGTTTCTGTCGTTTCTTCTTCAAGCGTAGGCCTATTCAAGACCTTATCATTCTATGGTCATTCCATCTTGTCTTGCCAAGCACTTCCACATCCTGCACGACGCCTGGGTGTGCACTCAGTATAAAATCTATTTCGTCCTTATTTTCACCGTTAAGCAGGCAGAGGGGTATTTTCACATCGGTACTAGAAATTTCCGACAGGGATTATTAGTATAATTCGCAGAATGCAATATTTTACGAATATTTGAAAGCTTCTACCGAAAACAAATGAACCGTAAGTGGTCATGCAAGAGCCCTAATGGCAAAAGTAAGGTTTGAAGAATTAGGCAGTGTCAACTCACGTTGTCTGTTGTCTATGCTTTTGAGCATTTAGTAAAAATGCAACACTAGCAGAAATCTGCCACTACTGCCTCAACACCAGACAGCAATACGAATGATTTATCCGCCTTTTTCATAAGCTAAACACCTATAATGTTAGAGAATAGGGTAGCATCTAACTTAGGTTGTAGTGCTTACGCGCGATAATGTGCTCGCATGTCGGGGTCCTCTCCATCGCAGAGCATACCACGGCTTGGCGGCGGCAGGCCAGTTCGTGTTCGTGGTGGGCGGCTTCAGCGGCCGCGACTGCCACAATTCCCTCGTGTGCCTCGACGTTGGCCAGGCGAGGTGGATCGCCAAGGCGAACATGGCGCTCGCACGCTGCTACCTCAGCGTATCCGTCCTCCAGGCAAGCACGAAGACGAGACAAAACGCGCATTTTTTGCTTACAGTCATCAACTATTGTTCTAGCTAACCGCGTATTTCAGATACCGCGTTGTAATTCAGATTCGTAAGCGTTATTTGCATACTGGGGACATAAGTGTGCGCTGTAATAAAGTGTTGTACGTTTATGGCTGAATTCTGGAGCCATTAAATGCGGCCAAGCAGCCTTAGCAGAATGGAAAGCTGGGCAAGTTTGTTTGAATTCCTCGCTTCAAAATACGTGGAAAGGCGCTAACAAGAGTAAGGCTCACAAGAGAAAGCAAAGCGTGTCATTTTGTGTTAATGACATTTCTCTCGTGAACGCGTTTCTGCTTATTTTCAAGCAATCAAACTACTTTAACTCAAGAGAAACACCTCGCGCTTTTGACAAACTGCACCTTTCGCCTACTGGTTGTCTCGTATCATCAGCTTTGAATTATGGAACTTATATTGGTCGATCAATCCATTTTTTAATCAATGCGTTTTATTAAGGCAAAAAGAATCAATGCAATGTATAAAATATACCGACGATGGTCCCAAAGTTCACGACTACAACGGGACCCACGGTGATGGTTACAACTGAATAAAACAACCAAAAGCAGCAATCAGAACTGAGAGACGAAAATAAGGAACGCACAACAAATATGAAAAGGAAAAAGACAAGGAACCAAAAAAACAGCATATAATGAGTACACCTAAAATTACGACAATTCTGGTACAACACAACAAACGAGGAATGCCTAAACTAAAAGAAAAAACAAAAAGACATTGAACGAAAACACACATAGTTAGTGCTATATAAACCAATACAGATCTGGCACACTTTAATTAAGGAACTTCACGAGTTTAACGAATAATACTACAATGATTTTTCAAGTGATATGAAAGAAATTTTGGATTTTAGTTATGAGGATTAGAACTTCCATATTGAGGTAATACTGAAGCGCGAAGATGATTTACCATAGTTACTATGAACCTTGGGAAGCAGGAAGTCATTGTTAGCCGCAAACCTGGTGGTATTAGTATAAACTAAATATTCATAATCATATTAATTGATAGAAGTTTTAAGTGTTATGTGGTTATGCAGAAACATAATTCAAATAAACATAAATGAGTTGCTGGCAGGATATTATTAATATGGAGGAGGTGAGCGATGCTACTGTCACAAGAACAGTTAAAGATGACGCGAATGACTCTATTTTGTAATTGCTGTAAGAATGAAAGAGGACACTGATAAGTGTCACCCCATCAAGCGATACCGTGAGAGATATGAGAATGTATGAAAGCAAAGTAAAGCAAAACGAGTGCCTTATAAGAAAAATGAGTGAGCTTTAAGTAACGTGTGAATACTTAATGCTGTCGTTTTTCTAACAAGAGCAATATCTACATCGAATTCGAGGTTAGCATCAAGTAGAACACCAAGAATTGGCATGGTGTTACCGATATTAATGAAAAGAGTTCGTTGTGATTCCTGGTTATGAAGTTACCTTGCGTTGAAGTGATCTAAAGCCCTTATTGGGTGACCTGTCAGTTGAGCCGATGTAGAAGGCATGAAAGTAGCCACTGCAAAACATCCTCTAAGGAAAAAGGTTTTACGAATAGCACTCCTCATGCTTGTCCTCGTTTTTCGTACACTACGGTAGTCTTTGCGTAAGGCTCCTTAAAGGGCTCTCTATATTATTTATAAGAAACCCTTATACGTCTCATGCCGAAGCCTGCTTGAAGTATTTAGCGTCAACATGAGTGCAGCCGCAAATATCAATTTGTTACAAAACTATGTGTACCTATCAGTACACTAGCTCAAGACTGGGTGCTCGGCCACTGCCAAGAAATGGCGCTGCATGTGCACACCACATTATGAACTAGGAAAGGCCCTTATGAACCAGGAAAGGGGTCATGGTTCCAGGGCTAACGTTCAGCAATGCGGTCTTGTGCATGAGATCAGAAGTTCAAGCAAGATTAGAAATTAAGCAACGTGGAATAGGTAGACTTGCTTTAGGAGCTCACGGGAATACACCAAATCGGGGAGTACAAGGTGATATGATACGGACATTATTTGAGGGCAGGGAAGCTAGCAGCAAGATAAAATTTGAGAAGCGATTGAGAGAAATGGGGGAGGAGCGTTGGGCTAGGAAGGTTTTCAGCTACTTGTACATGAATAATGTCGATACAAAATGGAGGAAGCGAACCAGGAAGTTGACTGGTAAATACTTAGAAAACAGCAGGTGGCCAAAGCAAAAAGAACTATCGCTTAAGAAGAAAGTGAAGGAAACGGAGACTGACATGTGGAGAATGGGCATGATAAAGTAGTCCGCACTAGAGATCTATCGAACTTTTAAGCAGGAAATTGCCAAGGAAAGGATCTATGATAATACTAAGGGTAGTTCTCTACTGTTTGAGGCCAGGACGGGAGTACTGCGAACCAAGACATATCGGGCCAAATACGAAGGGGTAGACACAGTATGCAGTGCGTGTGGAGAGGAAGAAGAAACTGCCGAACACTTGATAATTTTCTGTAAAGGGCTTCACCCTATAGTTCAGAATGATGGCGCAGAGTTTTTCAAAGCACTGGGGTTTAGGGACCGGGAGGGCAAAATAGACTTTAAGCGGGTAGACTTAACTAGAAGGAGGTTATGTGATTGGTGGCTAAAGTCAAGGCACGAGTGAAAATTAAACTATTCACTGCAAAGTACGAATCCTCAAACTCACTTTTTAAAGAAAAAAATCTAGTTTTTGGTTCATTAAGTATTACGGCTTGGTGGCGCTAGCCACCGCCCGATCTAAAGCGTACAGCCATATCCATCCATCCATCCATCCATTATACTGGACATGTTCGCGGGGCTTATCTAAAAAGGTGGCGTCGTTTTCTCGCAGGGCTACATCTACGCAATGGGTGGCTACGACGGCATTGATCGTATGAGCACGGTCGAGCGATACAACTTCAACGCGAATTGCTGGACACAGGTCGCCAACATGAACGACGTTCGAAGCGACGCCAGCGCCGCAGTGGCTTGTGGGCGCATCTACATGTGAGTGGTGTAGGCGTTCATCTGCGATAATATTTTACGGTACAAAATGTTAAATGTCTCATGCACACGCTATCTTAGATTTTTTTCGGCTATGTTTCTCATACCACAACTACCGCCAATGATATCTGGAATTCCCCACTCGACTTTCGGCATGAAGAAAGTAGACGTAGTGCGTCTTGTACAGGCCTTTGTGGTCAGTGGCGTCACTTATATTTTTCGGTACCTGAGTATCCGAAAAAAAAATTAACTGAAACTGGACCGTCTACTAAGACTTTCATATCGGAAATACATCAATCAAAGATTGCTTGTTATGGGCTTATATATTACAGCGTCAGAGATCTTCGAAGCTCATCAGACGAACCAAGTGATTCGGCTCGCCCATGCCGAAGCAGGCACGCAAGGCTAAATGCTCTCGGCATAGATCTACAAATGCAGGTCGTCGGTAAACTATCACTACCACATCGCACAGCTACCATCGGAATCGGGCCGCATCGATCAGGTGCAATCCGCCTTGTAGGGCGTGGGACACCACAGGTCTCTGTTCTTTCCCCCACCCTATTCAATATCGCGCTTGCAGGGCTCCCCCGGCTTCTCGATCAGATCCCCGATGTCGCTCACGCTATTTATGCGGACGACATCACTATCTGGTGTACACACGGTTGCGACGGTGCTATCCAAGAGCGACTGCAGCAAGCAGTCGACACTGTCTCTGAGTATGCGAGAAAAGGGGCTTAAATTGTGCTCCGCAAAAGTCGGAGCTCATAATCATTCGTTCCCGCAGCCCCTCACCTATGCCGCCCATCACTGTACATGTGGATGGTATACCCATACCACAGGTCAGCCGTGCTCGCATCCTAGGCCTACACGTCCAGGCGGATGGCAGGTCTAACTATACTGTTTCCCTTCTATCCCGACAAACTGAGCAAATTCTGGCCATGATCAGGCGGGTCTCTAACAGGCGCTCCGGTCTTCGAGAAGAGGGCCTGCTGCGCTTGGTGGAGGCATGCATCATCAGCCGTCTTACATACCATCTTCCCTTTCAGCGGTTGACCCAAGCGCAACAACTTCGCGTTGATGCCCTCATTCGTAAAGCGACGAAGCTATCCCATGGCCTACCGCACTATACTTCCACATACCGTCTCCTTAATTTAGGAACGCATAACACACTAGGAGAACTACTAGAGGCGCATTGGGTCAGTCACCGCCAGCGCCTCTTGCTCACACGTACTGGCCACTATCTCCTTGCACGGTTAGGGCACTCTGTCCCACCACTTGAACCTGAAGCTCACCCAACGACCTTATCACCCGCCTTACGTAAGGTACTGAATATTCATCCCTTACCGCGTAATATGCACCCAGTGCATGACAAAGGACGGCGTAAAGCCTGTGTGTGATACCTTAACCGCATGCTCGAAAACATCCCAGAATCCCAGGCTCTATACACAGACACGGCGCGCACTCAAGAGGGCTATACATCCGTAGTGTTGGATGGCACTGTATCCCTGAAGGACTCTGCTGCGATGCGCGGCACTAATGTCACGTACGGAGAAATTCTCGACGTTGCTCTCGCCATTCGACACGCCGTTTGTGTCCCAGGGGAAGTGTATATACTGACGGACTCGCAACAGGCATGGCGGGCGTTCCTATCCGGACGTGGCATTCCGAGAGCGGCACAACAAATTCTCAAACAGATACCGAAAAATGATTCAGTCACACCTTCCCGCATCCACTTAATGTGGACCCCTGGTCATGCCTCGCTGCCGGGCAATGATCGCGCACATGGAGTAGCCCGCGATATTTCCCTCCGGATGGCCCGGCGTGGTGAAATGACCAGTTCAGGGTGGGGGAATCCCTTGCTGCGTTACGTAGAGATTCTCCGTCATTATAGAAGCGTTCGCTGCACTCACCGTGCGCCACCACCATCCTTCTCGAGAGAGGAAGCAGTGGCACTACGCCAGTTGCAAACCGACACTTTTCCTAATCTTGTCTCCCTGAACAAATTCTGGCCACACTGTTATGCCGACAATTGTCCGGGCTGCGGCAGGTCACCCTCCATCTTCCACGTCACTATCGAGTGCACGGCAAACCTTTTCCCTCCATTACCACCCCTCCTCCGCCCGCTGCGCAAAAAAGAGCTGTGGGACGACGCCCTCCGCGACGGACCTCCCGAGGCTCTGCGAGCCAACATACAACGGTTCATGATGATAAGGGGCGCGAAAAAAAACGACACACAACTTATCATCATGAACCAGCACCAACTCGCCCAACTTTTTACTTTACTGAACATACAACGGGCTCGACACGTCGCCGGAGTCGTCCTAGAAACCCCGGACTTGGGGTCCCTCCCATGCTTTTTGTTCTACTTAAATAATAAAGATGTTTTGTCTCTCTCTCTATCACTACCACAAGAATGGCAGCGATAAATCTATATTCGACCTTTGCCTCGCATTATGCACCCCATCCATCATAAAAGCAAGCGAGCTGCCAGACCCAAAGTGTGTAACAAATATTCAGATTTTGATGACGCTTTTTTCAAGTGCGAAGCATTTCTTAGTGAACTTCGGCAACTATGAGTTTATCTATCTATCTATCTATCTATCCATCTATCTATCTATCTGTCTACCTACCTATCTCTCTATCTATCTATATGTATATCTATCTATCCACCTACGACTAATAGCTGTCCTGGCAGTTCCGATAACATTATCGATACCAAATTTGGCATAGCATAATATGACTGTATGAAAAACATATTTCAGGAGTCATAACATGAAAATTATGACATCTGTCATTATTGTCACAATTTACATTTTATGCTTCTGCTGCTCTTGCGGTGGTTTCCTTCACATGGCAAGTTGCAAACTTGGTATTGTAGGATATGATTGCATAGCTAACGCAAACGAGAGATCCTAACATGAAACTTATGACATGCGTGTCATGTAACACCAAGACTACATGCTACGCTCAAGATGCGCTCGCAGCCGTTACGCTAGCGTTACATATACCAAACTTTGTATTACGGTATGTGAATGGATGACGAAGGTATGTCGCTGGTGCAAACATGATAATCATGAAATGCGTGTCATGTAACAACATGACTACATGCCACGCTCATGTTGCACTGGCGGCCGTTTCGCTAGCTTCACTTATACCAAATATGGTATTACGGGACGTCAGTGGATGACGAAGGTATGACACTGGTGCAAACGTGATAAACATGAGATGTGTGTCATGTAACAACATGACTACGTGCCACACTCATGATGCGCCCGCGGCCGTTTTGCTAGATTTACATATGCCAACTTTGGTAATACGTGACGTCAATGAGTGACGAAGATATGTGATTGGTGCAAACATGATAGTTATAAGATGCGTGTCATGTACGAACATGACTATATGCCACAGTCAAGGCGCCAATACATTACGACGACACGCGGCGCAGCGTGCTGGCCGGTGTTCATTTCGTCGTGTCACGCCGGCGTTGCCACGCCAGGCGCCGGTCCTGCCATATACTCGCAGTCAGTGCGCCGCGGTGCGTTGCTTTGACGCATGTGCGTTTCAGCTCATCCGGCGTCCCTCTGTCACGAAAAGAGGGAGACGCAGTGTTGTCTGGGTAACGCATCGGTGACGAAATGCAGCATGTCACCTTTCGCGCTAGTTGCCGTCGAGCCGCGCCGACGGACAGTGGTCACTCCGGTCGCGGCTAGGCGTCAGGCTATAGAGTGCTCGCGTTTTGCTAAACGGAGCGTCGCTGTGCCCAGCGCGCTCGCGCGTCAACGCTACCCTGGAGTACACTGGGCCCTTCATGATGTGTTCGCTGGCCGTTTTGCTAGCACCACATATACCAAGTTTGGTGATACGTGACGTCAAGGGGTGAAGAAATAAATGAGTGGTGCAAACATGATAATCCTGACACGCGGGTCGCGAAAGAACATGATAACGTACCACGTTCGTTGCGTGTTCACGGCCGTTTCGCTAGCTGCACGTACACTAAATTTGGTATTGCGTGACGTGAATAGCTGACGAAGGTAAACGATGCATCCAAACATGATAATCACGACACGTACGGAAGTCTTGTACGACATCATTTACCTCCACCTCGTAACGTTGTGGTGATTTCAAAGTGACATATCAACCTTTCTCATTCGTGCTTCGCATATAATCGATTCCCTCTGTACATGGGATCTGTTTTCTTTTTTTTAATTTTTTGTCATGGACTAGTTGATGTTTTCGCGGTCGCAACCAGAGACTCTAACAACGGAATTTCCTCGAAACGAGATCTTTAACACTATTGCGTTCATATATTATACAGTGCATAAATATCATAAATATAAGCATAGGAGGAGAGACAGTCGTTTATCCGACAACGCAATTTGAGGGCATGATCAAGGCACACAATGAAAAATTTTTTTAACCTCCACCAAAAAGACATGCAATAAAGGTTCTGACTATGTTGCTATATATTGCCAAGTTTTTAAATCTAGCATGGTGAAGTAAATCATTTGCATGCCATAATTTGTTCTTCAATTGGGCAGAAACCAATATAGTTGACCGGGACAAACCACGAAAACATCCGACGCAATTCAAGAGGTGAGAGCAAGCTTTGTGTTGCAAATATAGAAAGCTCATTGCCGAATACAAGATCCAGGGCGTTCAATTTGAGAATGACGACATGGTAACACACTATCGTAATGTATTTATGCACAAGTTTTGATCTCACGTGCTGTGTGCGAGCCCACGCTCAGTACCATTCCGTGCTTGTTCCCAGCAATTCCAACTATTATATAAAGTATAAAATGCGCATAACCATGGACGCCGATTCCCCTAGAATTCATGGCGCTCCTCGTGTACCCAGCTCCTCGTTTGCAAGAGCCGCCATAGATATAACAGCAAGATGAAATGCACGCAATGAGCAACGCTCTCGATACTTGAATAGTTCCATCACAGTGACATTCAATCAATTGTCAACTCTCGCACTGCCTTCAAAGCAGCGGATATTT